CGCTATAGCGTGTTGATAAAGCGGTAGCTTCTGGGGAAAAGTAGTTGAATTAAAGAGACCCTTGTCAGGAGAGACTGGTCAGAAAGTGGAGTGAGCACGATGTGCAAGCCGTGTCCTCGATACCCTGCGAACTCCTGGAAACCAACGAACCAACGGACACGTTCCGGAACCGTTCCGGAGCACCAGCAACGTTCTACTACAGTATCTCAGTACCAGTCCTCGGACCATTGCGACTTCCTACACTCCACAAACTCTCGGGATGATTACCTGAACTAAGATACCATGCTCAGACTAGCGCAGCGTCCACAAGATTATTCCAACCACAAGGACCACGAACGTTCCTTATGTCGGTAGCTCAACAATCTACAGAGGATCGACATTGTTCCGCGTATTCAAATCGTCCAATCAGATATTCTACGCAACTCAGTCGATACATACTGCCTCTACCATGAACAGACGGTTGGTAAGGATCTTGATGGGGACCTTGCTTACGTGAGATAATAGCGAAATCCCCCTGTAGTTGTTACAGTTGGACCAGTCACCCTTCTTGTACAGCACTTTGACGGTTGCATCCTTCCACTCTTGCGGAATATCTCCTCCGTTCCACACCTCTACGAGGATGATATGGAGGTGCCCCAGGACGAAGGGTTCGTCGTCATCGATCTTGAGCAATTCGGCAGGGAGGGATTCATGGCCGGGTGCGTTCCAGTTCTTCAGGCCTTTCGTTTCCCGTTCCACCTCCTCGAGGTCTGGCACCTCTCCCAATCGTTGAGTGTCACGTGTCGCTGGCCGCTGCGTCACTCGTTCGGTGATGTCTGGGTTCCAGGGTAGGGGATTTGGTGTTGAGTAGGGTGCTGAAGACTCTCGTCCACCGCTGGAGGATGTCGTCCCTGTTCCGGAGCATCACGCCGTTCTCATCCGCGACGAACTGCTATCCCCCCGCTTGTCTCCCGCTGCGGCCCACTGATCTCTTGAGGTGTTGGTACAGTCCTCGCATGTCGCGATCTTTGTAGAAGGCTTCGAGTTAAGTCACATACTTATCCGCGCAGATGGGCATCATTGCCCGTCTCGACTGCTGTATGTAGCCACTCCCTTACGCGCTGCTTTGAGAACCCTCCACATCGCTGAGTTTCAATGCCCCTCATCGCTCGGCGCGCTTCATGCCGTTTGGCAAGGGCCTCCTCCAGCGCTGCTCTCATCTCTGGTGTCTCACACCACTCCTGCGTGCGGCGTCTCCGCGGTTCCTCCCCTTGGGTCGTCCGCGCTGCTTCGAGGAGAGCATTGGTAAAGTCGGTCGCCAATTCCGCGGCGGCGGTTGTTCCCTCGTCCAGTCGTGTGTCGAAGTTGAGGAGGAACCGATAAGTCACCGCACACCGTGCTGCTTCGAACTGCATTTCCCGTCGGCTGAATTGCTTCTGTTTCGGTTTAGTCCGGACTGCACCGTTGTGGGCAAGCCTGCCACCGAGGTTGAATGCTGTGACTACTACGGTCCATGTAACGAACCACGAAAAACTGCGAAAAACGCACGGGGGCGCCGTGGATTGTAGGGGTACTATGTGTGCATACCGCGAAGAACCAGCCTGTGGCAGCGATCTACCAACACGTGCGAGAGGTACGCTCTCGGTGGGAGCCCTTGCGCCACCCAGTTAACTGACGGGTGTTCTGAGGGAAAGGGAGCACGATGGCTTCTACCAGCTGAGCATTTTTGGTAAGTCCCGTGTTTCGGGTCTAGGACGGTAGGCCGTGGTGGTGGGCAGTAGTAGCCGCATCCTGCCATTGTTTTGTTTTCGGAAGTGGGGAACAGCCTCTGGGTTCCTCCCCAAGTCACAGGGAACACACGGCGGTTTACCAAGGGTGAAACTAGTGTGTCGTTCACCAATTACATGGACACCCGCTGCTGCTGTAATTTTAGTGCTCCTGGTGACGGATGCAGCACAACGAAACAGTAGTGTCCCTCTACATCAGCAGCAGTCTACGTCGACCACCAATGGAAGTCGTACCTACCGAACGTGCAGCAGGTCCGGAGCATTTGTTTGTTGAGTACAACAGCGGTCAGCGCCAGTGTTACAGTAGTACACAAGTGTTGCAGACAGTACGTCTGACCTGATGATGAACTCCAAGGAAGAGATAGAAAACTTGCTGAGCATGGTGTGCTGAAACACGGCGATCCGTCAATGGTTTCAGGTCAAAACGTGGCCAGATCTTGGGCACCGGCTCTCTTGGAGACCTTAACTTTGAGCCGATGACAAATGATGGGTCCTCTGAAAGAAGTAGTGTTCGGCGAGGGTCACTTGCTTGCTGATGAAGAAATGGCACCGAAGGTGTGTGCGGCGTGTTGCAAAGGCTGTGCGTGGATGCTGCTGCAGCTTTTCCTGCTCATGCTGCCTTCCTGAAAATTGAATTCAAGAGAGAAAAAGTGGGAGATCGGAATATCTGCAGTACTGTAGTACGTGTGGCACTGGCCCCTCTGACTGGAACCCAGCGAAGGATACAACACAGCGTTGTGTGCCATACGGAAGCAGTGGGACCCTCGCCGAGCTTCACAATTGCTGAAGAACAAGCGACACGTTAGCACCGAAAAGTGCACGCGGCGTGCTGCTGCTGCTGCTGCTGCTGCTGCTGCTGCTGCTGCTGCTGCTGCTGCTGCAGTTCTGTGCCTGCTTCTCTCGACGAGGTGTCTCCCGCAGCTGCTCGTTTAAGTTCCGGAGACATGGCCTCACTCACCGCCTATACCTCCCTAAACCCGCCCGGCGGGTAAGCTGCGTTCCCTTTTGTCAGGGGTCGGCATCCCAATCACGCCAACCCATCAAATCTCACCGGGTGTGGTGTGTTGGAGAGGTGTTATCCTGCGTGGGTCTTGCCTTGTGTCGCATACCGCAGAGCTGGCCACAATAGCTTTCGCCGCGTGCATGCGAGTTATGACAAACACACGACCATGTGAGTACGGGTGCTGAAACTCGCCAACGTCTGTAGCTGTGGTTGCACTAATGTATGGAACGTTTGTCGTGGAGCCGAAACACGGCCCAGTGTCAAAGATCATGTGTACCTTCCTTGTTGGTGGAGGAACAGCGAAGCCCGGCAGGCCGCCTTGTTGTATTTTCGAAACGAATCATGAGGAACACACAGGTAGCGCAGGGCATCGGCATGGTCTGCAACAAGGTCTATGCAGAGCTGTTCCGAAACGCATTCGATGGACTAACGCGTAACGTAGGGCATCGACTTTGGCGGCAGTTTCAACGAGATCCATGCAGAGCAACTCTCGTGAAGCCCCCGGCGATAGCAGGGTTTGCATCGTGTGCAGCCTCGACTGAAAGACGAGGGTTCAGGTTGGAACACCGGCTATATTTACACTGGTCACATACCAAATAGTATATGTTTAGGCTGGAGAAATACTTCGAAATTGTTTTCCCTGCCTCGAAGAAATTCCAGGTAGCTTGAGAAAACGCGTAGCGCAAACCAGGAAAGACCACGATGATCACCACCTTCCTCCACACGATCTGTGTCAGCTTCCCGCGCAGAGACGAGGACGAACGGAACTCTGGAGGTATCTTGACCGGGGGGCGGATTCTTGTCGCCTCATCCATCCTGAGAGAAGATGTCTCCAGGGCACGGGGGCCGCAGCCACGGCCGCCACGTAAGCTTTGCACGAGTGGCCTAGTTTGCGATGTCAGTGTCGTTTGGATGCGTTTGAGAGGAAGCGATCGGCAATCAGAGTTTGATTGGTTGTGCCTGTGCGTGCAAGGGGGGGGGGGGGGAGTCCTTAATTTGTCGCACCTCGCAGGCAACACCCTCTGTGCCCCCGTCCCCCTCGTTGTGTTCCTTGTTGCTCCACGACATCTTGTATCGCTCCCTCCTCCCGATCCACGCCTCGCACCATTCACCACCATCACCCACCACGACCAAAAAGACGAAAAATACCCTTTCCCGCGCACATACCCCTGGTATCTTTCGGACACGGCATCGTAATAGTGCGACCAAATACGAAAAATCCATTTCCCGTGGATACCGCTTGTTTGGTATCTTTAGAATACCGCATCATGAATAACGCAACGGAAAACTAAACAAATGTGCGCAGGATGGTGACGACGACGCAGAGTGGATGCAGCTGCTGAGGCCCAGCGAGTTTCGCGAGGTGCTCGAGATCGACCGGGCCCGCCAGGACGTCGAGCGTCAGATCATACACTCCAACCAGGTACATGTTGCGCACCCGCCAACGCCGTCATGTCTGTGCGATTATCCACAGGCAATTGTTGCCACGTGGCAGCGGGGACGAAGAGGGATGGATGGCCTTTTGTGCAGGCATTGTCTGCAAACCATTTTGGGGGATGGGATCTGCGGCGGGTGTTGTTTGAGGCTGAAGTTTGAAGAACGCCTCCCCGGCAGCCGGTGATATTGAAGGACCAAGGCGAGGGGGGATGTTGCAGAACGAGCGTTCAAGGGGTCGCTGGGGGAAGGGGAAGAAGCTCCGCTTGTATCGTCGACGTCTTGTAGTTCCTTCCTGGTGAGATAACTACCACGGTGAGGTCCTGTCCTTCTCTTGGTCGAGCCTAGAGTCGAGGTTGTGTGCTTCCTGACGCATTTGTGTTGGTAGGAATCCAGTTTAGAGGCAGAAAAGGCACAATTGAAGCCTTATGGCTGCAGCAGAAGGCCATAGGCGTAGTTGTTTTGTGCTTCTGGGTGGATTCTTGGCTGCTTGCTTACAGTCAGTGAGCTGTCTTCGTGCGTACTGTGCCTTAGGTCAGCGACACACTCTTGCTTCGAGTCGTGTTGACCCTGTCCCGGAACAGTCCCTAGTTGTTTTCTTGTCTCTCTTCCCTCGGCACCTGCCGGATGGCCTCCGTGATGAGGTTCACTACCTACTCTTCTCATTTTCTCCAGTCTCTGTGTTCTCCCACGGTTAGTTGGTCCCACGGATCAGCATTGAAGTTCCTCCTTGTGGCATGGTTGCGTAACGTATCCGCTATTCCCAGTGTCGGCTTGAGGCGTACTCGTGGTATATTTTTCGCAGGCCAAGCTTGCGGGCAGGTCGGAGGCGGAGAGGAGGGAATGGACTACGAGTGGCTACGGAATGGCAGGGGTCGGCGCCTCCGCCGCCCGCCGCCGACAAGATGACGTGATGTCCCACCTATACTCCAAGGCATGTATGCATCGGTGTCTGCGATAAAATCGCGAGGCTGCGCGTGGTGATGGCAACCGTGGGAGGCAGACTGCTTTGGGCAATATGTTTCAAAAAATCTGCGTGATACTTGTGTACTTTGCAGTTACTGCTGTTGTCTAGGGCAGAATTTCGGCTACTGTTCGTCTCTGTCCGCTTGCAGTACGACGCCTTGTTGTCAACGCACAACCTCCCAGGAGGATCCGCTAGTTCTGTTTTTTTTTTTTTTCTGACCGCATGAATGCTGTTGATGTTGTGGTTTGATGGTTCGACGCAGGATTTTACCATGCGCGCGCCTTTGCCCTCGAGCGCTATCTGGCCTTTTCGTTCCACGATCTCCCGGGTATTACCCGGCATGCGGCTTCTGCCGTGCCTACAAGAACAACCCAGTCTCTTTCAAACTCAGTTTTGCATTTGCCGTGGATGACTGACGTGCTCGCCTCCACCAATCACTCTGGACACTTTTGTGTTGACGAAGCTCGAGGAGTACCTCAATTAGTCCCATATGTTTCTGGCATCTCTGCCATGTCACGTTCGATGCTCAAAACACACAACAGCACGTGGAGGCCAAGACGATCGTGAAGCTCCTCCCCGGTCCTGGAGATGGAGAAAAGCTGGCCCAGCTCCCGTCGCAGAAGACACTGGACTTGGTTGCGGGCTTCCTGTCGGGACCTCTGTGAGTAGCACTGTTGCACAGCATGAACCTGTGTGAAGTTGTGATGGAAGGTGTTGCCTGCGTTTTCAGTTGTTGCGAAACTATATGCTTTCCCCCGTGCACCTACTCGAGAACGGCTAAGGCTATGGAGGCTAGCGGGGCCGAAAAGAGGACCTGCCCTTCTTTCTCAGGGCCAGCGACTTGGATGTCAACAATTCGGACAAAAACGCTTCGAGGGATTGGTTACATGGGTATCGAAGTTTTACAATTGGCTCCGTTCGTTGACGAAGGTATGGCGTTGTCGGTATTGGATAATGTTTCCTCTGGCACACTGCAGGTTCTCCTATTAGCTGGAACAATTGGCAGGCCTCGACTTTGGCTCGCACCGCCAGTGGAATACTTGTTTTTGCATCATGGGAGTTGCTGAATGGATCAAGGCGAGGATGGGGCTGGTGACGTGGGCAGAGATACGGTAACGACGTGGAGAACATGAGAATAGCAAGGGTGATCGGATATGCCACGCGCATAGCCCTCCGCCGTTTCTTGGTCGTCAGACTTGACTGGAGGCCGTCATTTCCGTCTTCCCTCCCACCTGCGCACCCCTGCCACGGAAACCATGCGCCGGGACTTAACATGACTCAAAACCTCGCATCGAACAGGTTCGGCGTAGTGACGATGCTGGTAACCGTCGGCTCCGTCGGCATGTACCTGTACGAGACCACCTTCGACGAGAGAGACGACGGTGAGACCCTGGTAGGAAGGCACGCGAGCTTATATGCCAAACTACTTCGTTGTGTTGTATTTGGTCCCGAAAATTGAGCTCTTCAGTGTCGGAGGCAAGGCTGTAGGGTATTGAGAATTTGGAGAAGCGGTACGGGACGGAAGCAAAAAAGGCTAGAACAATCAAGCGGATATCGAGGCGGGTACTTACTCCTTTGGCTCAGTTATGTTTTGGTCCCTCATTTCCGAAAACAACTCATCGGGGTTTCGGCCAGGAGTTGGAAGACCCGCCTTGTCCGATTACGCTTGCCCCCACCATTAGGGGAGCCTGGTACAAATTCATCCTCCGCATGAAGGTCCCCGAGCTCAATCCATCCCATGTGCGTACCCGACACGATGAAAATCCGCTCGTCAAAGGTATGGGCGGGGGCGGCTGGTACAAGACCGGGCACGGCTACCCCTTCTGGTTTCTCATCGTCGAGGTTTTCCTCACGGCCTTCTTCACGGTGGAGCTGGGACTAAGGGCGGTGATGGCTGATCACGACCGCAGCTTTTGGCTGTCAACGGCGAGTCACTTTTTTTTTTCTTGTTTGTAATTTCGTTGTTGCCGTTGCCTCTGATGACCTGCAAGGCTAGCAGGACGACTTCCGTGATGCTGGGATGTTGCATTATGTACCAAATACTTCGTACCCGGAATAAGCATTACATGGGGATCGTACGAGATAGTTTAACCTTGAACAGGCACCTCCTCCGCTTTGTAGTAGACAGTTTTGCTTCGCTGTCGATTCCTGGCCGAAACCCCAGGATTTTCCCCCAACCATTTCCAACCCCATTCAACAAATGCAACGCACGATACGGTGTACAGAGCAAGCCTGCTGTTCGTCACACAGCCTCGTGGCGCCGGCCTATCGTATTTTTGTTCTGACTCCTCCCCGCCCGGCGGCCTCGTGGCGTCGGCCTATCGTATATTTGTCTGACTCCTCCCCGCCTGGCTGTGAAACACTGATGCCGTTGTAGCTGTGTCGTCATTGGCGTCAGGAATGCACGGGATTTTGCCGTTAAACCATCACCCCCCGCTCCTTAAAGGGGGGCAGAATAGGGGTTTTGTCGTTGGCTTTTTTTCCCATGCTTTAATCCAACATTAAGAAAGAAACAACCTTCCCGCCTGATGAACCTGGTAATTGATACAAATATCAGTAGAATACATCATCAAGAGGCGTCATGCGTCCTGGCACGTTCAGGTTTGCTACTGGAGCAAATATCGAAGGTCGTGACAGCCTCTGAAAACAGTCCGAAATCTGCGCCGGAACCAAAAGGCATCCAACATTTGTCACAGCCGTGCTCACCGCCACGGACCATACACCCCTACACCGAGGGTCGTCAGCAATCGCTAGTGGCATCAGCTTCTGCTGTAAACCCGCAGTTCAGGGGATTGGCGTCAGTGGCGGCGAGCACAAGCAGTACAAGACACTGGGTGCTTAATTTGCGGAGATTGCGGAGATTGTAGGCCGCCACTACGACCCTCGATATCACCACCACGGAAGCAGATTCGAGCGCGCCAACACGCACCCCCCGCTGCTATAGGATGTCCTCTAGTGATATATGTACTATCCACCAGGTTCCTGGCAACACAGCGCTTATATGAGCGCGTGCCGTTTTGGCTATTCTGCTATTTTGACTAGAGTTTAGGATGTTTATATTTTATCTTGATTTCATAGGAGGCGTGTGGAGGTTGACGCATGAAATGTACTTTTTGAGAAGCCTCTACTGCCGCCCTGTACGAGAATCAACGATTTCTGTTTTTCGCGATGCCTTCCGACTGGTCTTGTGCCTTTCGCGTGTCATCTCTGGTGCTTTTGTGTTTGTTTTCAAAATTTTGTCGACATCAAAGTTCGTGTTCTGCCACCCCTTAACAAGAAATGAAGCCACAAGCCCGTCCTTCCGTTGGATTCCCTCCGCCTTTCCCTCATACACGTCTTTCAACAAGCAGGAGACGGTGGTAGACATACTGTCGGTGGTGCCGTCGGTGCTGTTCGTGGCGTTCGACCTGCGACTGTGGGGTTTCTTGAGGTTTCTAAGACTGGTTCGCTGGGCCGACGTCGTGACCATCTTCAACGGTCGGTGGAGGATCCGGACCAACGAAATGGCGGACAAGAATACCGCAACTTCAGACGAAACAGCGGAAGGCGTGCTAGCGTGAGTGCTGCTGTCACACATGTCTACCACAGTTTGCTACGCTTTTTGGCTAGCAAGTTCAGTAGCGTAACGCCTCTCACGTACAGCTGTACTGCTGTACTTCACGGGCTCTTCTACATAGAGAGCGCCAGCTGGAAATGACACCTGCTTGTCAATTCTGAAATCTTGTGCGTTTTGGCCGACGCCGATACAGCTCGAAAAATGACTTTTAAAAAATGGTCATTTCGAGTGGTGAATATCGGAGCAACTGGCCATTTTCAGACTGGAAGTCGAGAGAATTGTTGGCAACAGCCGCCTTCTTGTAGCATGTAACCCAGACGCTACACGTAAATACACACAAACGGGAACAAATAGCATGCTGTTAAGGTAAACGAAGGCGGGAGAAGAGGCGTTGCACATACTGCTATCGTGGCTGAAAGCCCTCCTTGAAAGGGAGTGACAGGAGCTTGCACAGCAGTCCATCGGTACTCCCGACCGTCCTCTCATCGGTCTCTGCTACGATGGAAGGCAACCCTGGTTTGCTCGGCCGTTGATACCACGTACATATTACCCTGTTTTGCCGAACATTGGCCCCACGGTCAAAGGAGTAACGTGTTGCCTGGGCACATGAGGATGGCCGCTTCTTTGTCGGCCACCGCACGTGTTAGTCTAGTACACGACATTTGTGGCTCGGCGCTGGGATGCGGCGGGATTCACATGTCACCCGCTTTTTGCCAGACCTCCGACAGAAGAAGCGTAACTTCAGGCGTCACAACTTATTTTACATAAAGTTTAAGACTCAAACATTTTATTTATTTTTTCAAGTGTATTTAACGTTGATAATATTTAGGACGAGTCGAGATCGTGTTGGTTTGGGTACTGATTTGTCGGAAAATGCTTTGCTTTCTCTACCGAACAAATTAAATAAAACAGACACGGGATGTGTGCCGTCGCAAGACCCGGGGCGGGAAGTTCGAGGCAGCAATTTGTCTTGTTTGTTCCGCCCCGAGCAGAAGACCACGAGAGCTTTGTCGGTGCTGCCACAAGTATCGACCATTGTCCGGCTGTAGAAGGACTTTGTATGCATGCCTTTTGGACGATTCGGCTACAGGCAGAACGAGTTCAATTCTGAGTTTGATTTGTCCGGGCCGTTTCCTCGGGCGACGAGATAATATTTCTTCCAAGCAGATGTGCCGGGGGCGCAGTAGGTACCTCGTCCTTGCCGAAACCGTTTCCATCTGATTGACTCCCGCGTTGTGCTCTCGAGAGAGGGATACAGCCGCACCAACATTTTTGTAACCGGCCTGGTACTGTATGCGGCCTCATCCCGAACACTTGGCTGATGAGTACGGCTGGCAGACAGGCGCACGAATGTTGTACTCGTGTGTGCTCAGTGCCGTGGGGCAGTGGGTCGAATTGTGATGTTTTCGGAGCGATACTAGAGAATCCAAGCCAACCGTCGAGAAAACATGGTGAGGCACAAGGACAGAGGGACGAAACGCCGGGCCCTCCCTACCCACACAACAGAACGTTGTTGAAATATCAGTTGATTCCGAGCGGAAAGAGAACATGCCAAAGTATAGTGTGTCGCTATTTCTTATTCTTGCTGTCCCCCAAACCGACGGTCGCCCTCAGTTTAACCTGGCAAGTCGGGAAAAGGCATGTCACCGCACTAGGGCATGCCCTTTCCCGACGTACCCTTAACGGGCTCCACTGAGAGCGGCCGTCGGCCTGGGACCACCAGCCGGCAAGATAGAAACACGAGTTACTTTGGTGTGTCCTCCTTTCGCTTGAAATGAACTGATGCTCGTGCGACAGCGCTCTGTTGTTTGCGCAGGAAGTCGTTGCTGTATCTCGGCGCTCCGTTATTTTCGGGAGAATACCTGCCCTGTCTTCGTCCATCGAAGGAGCAGGCAAACGCTCTTCTCTTGTTGGCACTAGAGGGTAGCGCAGCAAGAGCCCGCCATGCGCGTTCTGTAAGACCTGGTATCCAGCGCCTCCTGTTCCGAGGTTATGCAACTGTCCTCAACGGATCGTCGCCGCGTGTCGTCACCGCCCTCGTCAGTGCGTACCTCTGACGAGATGTCTCTTGAGACTTTCTCGTTGTGGTGGCGATGTCGACGCTATTAGTGTTGCACCCTTCGGCTGCGACAAAGTCGGGGGACGTTCATTTCATGTGCCGTGTTTCGCTGGTGCTCCCATGCCTGAAACTTCTTCCTTTTCATTGACACAAATTCCATTTCATGCAGTATATGCTCCGAATTAGCCCGATAGTTGTGCGCCGCAGCGCTTCGCTGCAGTTGTGAACGAAGCTGTAGCTGTGGGAGCATCGAGGTACACTGTTTACGTGGGATCGTCAATCATGCCATATGCCAGTCGTGTTCGATTTCAATGTTCCTACACAGGGGTTTCATGGTCCACTCCTGCGGCGTTCATTGTCGCGCCACCCTATCAACTAGTACTTCACCGACCCTTTGTGGAATGAACCGCGTTGTTAAGCCCTCTTGTAATCGTAGCTGTGTATCAGCAGGAGCTGGGTCTAGCTCGTGTGGCGTCCACTCACTCAAAAGCCACAGCATTTGCTTGCCATCCTTGACTTTGGGTACTCTCTGTCGTTGGGAAAGAGTGAGATGGGGATGCAGTCGATCAGTTTTCCCCATCACGAGGCGTGCTTCTTTACGTTCCGAGATGTGAACGAGCGGCATTGAGGGGCAAATACCCAGGCACTGTGGTCACAAGCGTGGCGGTGCTCGCTCGCCAAGTAGCGCTGCACTGTAACATCAAACAGAAGAAGCAATCATCAGGGGGAAGATTGGCAACGTTCAGCAGCGCTCCGTCGATAATGTGCAATATCCGTCGAAATCAATATCGTTTTGCAATAAATCCCTTAACAACGATAGTAGACGAAATGAGTCGCACATTATCGCTAGCTCTGTCTACGGTTCGACTCTGCTGTATACGGGAGGACTCAAGTTGATGAACCACAGGCCGTAGGCGTGTCCTGCAGATGCCCTCTTGTCATCTGGCTTGAAGGCGTCCCGATATTGGTTCACGTGACGTGAATGCAGGGCGGATACCCTCGGGGTCATGGCACTTTTGGGCTGTGCGTTATAGGTCCCTGATGACCATATTGAAATCGTTTCCTCCCCCTCCACCGTTTCGGCGCTTCGATTCTTCGAACCCGCATGTTGCTTCCTCCGTGCCTCCTTTCCCTGCCGTTGCTGAAGAAGGGTGGTGTGTCGGGAAAATCTTCAAACTGAAAGCGTCACCCATGCCCTCACGAAGCTTGTACGATTTTTTCGGGTTGTGTTTTGTTCTCCCTTCGCCCGTGCTCTCTGTCCCGTCCCCCCGTAGACGGAAGCGCGAGTCTTTGACGTCAGGCCTCAAGTTGCTGGCGTTCGTGGGCCGATACGTTCTCGTGTACGCCGGGTGTGTGTTGCTACTCAGCAGGGCGGAAGGCGACATCGAGGTGAGACGGCGCTTCAGCCCATCCATCGCTCCTTACCCCCCCCCCTGGACACGCGCGGTACCTTCCTTTCGTGGATAGCTCCGGAGGCCTAGCTTTGTTTCCCGCGGTAGTCGCAAATTGGGTGCATCCGATTGGCTGGACCATCTCTTGTTGATTGCCTCTTGATAAGAGAGTACTTGCTTGACGGAAGTCCCTGTGGGCGTGCAGCGGCAGCGTTTATCTTCCCTTGCCCCCTGCAATTTCCATACGTTTCCGCTTTGTCCACGATGACGTTTGTTTCACCAGGATATCTCCGAAGCAGACCCCGAAGATGCAATTGACTTCACCTCAGCCCTATACATGGCTGCCACGATGCTGTCGACGGTGGGAGAAGGGGTATATGGGCCCGTCCCCATGTCCCGGGGTGCGCGCTTGGCGTCCGTTGTCGCCGTGCTGGTGTTCGTGCCCCTCGCGGCCATCCGGGTACGTGGGAAGCATGGGTCCGTCTGTTTTCCACGAAAATTGTGCTCTAGTCAACCCATTTCTTGTGTGTGTTCGAGTGAAGTGAGCCTATGACGTGTCGACAAGTTGAGAGTCCGAGGGTACATTAGGCAGGATGTTTGTGCTGCGTTGTTCAATGTTTTGCACAGTCGACCCTTTTTTCTACCGGAAATGTTGTCTGTTTCACAACGAGGCATTCCAAACCGCGACAAATGGTCTACAACACGACCCACAGCCCCGCCTGCAACGCAAGCTCCCGGAAGATGCCCTCGATTTCTCACGCCTCGAAACAAAGCGCACCACTGCTGTTCCCACGCGTTGACACTCCCTCTTCCCTTTCCCCCCGACCTTCGGGAAAATTAATTGCCGCGCTCGTCAATCGTGCAAACAAATGGAACAAAGGTGGCCGACGTGATCAAGAACTCGAGCACTGCGCGCACCCCGGCCCGTGCCGTGTCCCTGCCTTCCTCCGTGCGCGAGAGGCATGTGGTGATGTGCGGGTCCGTCAACGCCACGAACCTGAAGGCCAGGCTCCAGGAGATGTTCCACCTGGACCACGGGAACCACAACATCCGCTGGGTTAGGGTGAGAGAACCCGCAGGATTCGAGACGGGCGTATGTGAGTCGGGAGTGTCCATATCTACCGAAAGCCTTCTTGTCCAACAAGGCGAGAACGTCGGAACTTCGTCGCCCTGGGAGCGGCCAGAACGGGGTTCGTCGCTTTCGTGACGGTGAAAAGTGAAGCACCCCTTGCTGTTACGCAAGGAAGTAAAGCGGTACGAAACTAGTCCAGAAACGGGTGCAATGTATCCCTCTCTTGAACGCCCCCGAAGCGCCACCGGGGCTCTCTGTAGGTATGTTATGTGGTTTGCCAGGTTCGTGCGAAGTGTTGTCGGGACCACGCAACCCCCGAAACAACACAAAGGGCATCGAAACGAACGTTTTTGTACACCCCTAACGGCAGGACGCTATGATGTTACGATTTGAAAGAAATATCTCATCTACCACTGCTGCGTGCACTGGCTTGGCTGCGGAGTGAGGTAGCCCTTCTGGTGTCGACTTCTGGAAAGACTCGGACCCACATTGAGAACGTGAAGTGTAACGTATGATCGTTGTGTTGTCGCGTCTCTCTTGACAACGTCATGATGGCCGATAACACAGGTGGTGGTGATGTCTCCGAAGCCACCAGGCCCTCGCATTGATGCCCTCCTGGAGCACCCCCGCTACCGCGGCCGGGTCACCTACCTTCAGGTAGGCGTTGCTGGTAAACTTCAGGCGCCCGTTGTTGATCAGGCTTTTGGTGTTTGCCGTGTGCTTAGGGTTACGGTGGACGGTGGTGGTGGTGCCTACAGTTTTATGGTTATGGCGGCGGTGCAAGCAGACATCCTTGGCCGGCAGTGCAATAGCTTTCTCACCCGTCGTAACCCAGCATTCATTGATCCAGGAACACCCTTGGACGCGCCTGTTGCCACAACGGAGCCTTGAGCGCGAACTGGGTGGTGTTTTTGTTTACGCCTCGAACACTTACCTGCACCGTTTCCTTGTGTCGTTTCGTTCATTTAACGTTTGTTTTGTTTTCCATCCAGGGCTCTCCCCTACACGACGATAGCCTGCTGAAGGCCCGCGTGGACGACGCCTCCGCTGTCATGGTGCTTGCAGACAAGTGAGAGGGTTCCCCCCAAAACCTGCCCCAACACGGCTAGATACTGTGTCTGCCCAAACCTCCTCGTGTATCGCCTTGACGTAGCTGGGTCCTAGAAACCATGTTTCTCAGCGGTCCACCTCGCATGTATTATGTTTCCGAGCTGTGTCACCGCCCCATCTCCTTGCTATTTCGGAACCAAGGCTTGCGGCTGCTTGCCGGAGGAACGGAGGGAAAATTATGGCAAGCAGTGCTTGTGCTGCAAGAAAACACGTTCGATTTGTTTCACCCATGTCGGTGAACCTTTTTGCCTCTAATCCGCATCCCTCGCCCGCCTTCTCCCTCGTTCCATGTCGCGCCTCTGTGGTGCCCGCAGAGCCCCCCCAAGCTCGCACGCGGAGGACATGGGATTGTCCCTGCAAGCGATTTCGGTCATGACTCACGTCGAGGTGGGGGAGCATTAGCAACATTTTACTAGCGGCGTGTTTTTCCACATTCGAGATCCGATGCCTGCATTGGGCGTTGTGGCCTGTTGTGCTTGATCAAAGCGATACTGCTATCGGGTTCCATCAATAGAGTATTCTACCGAATGTATCACGAGGTCTACCTAATGCCGCAGTGTTTTCGCTCATCAAGAACTTTACACCAGGTAGCGCTCGCCGATCCTTAGCGCTCTTCTGGACCGCAGCTTGATTGTCATTCATGGTGCTGAAGGCGTTGCCTAGTCATGACTGCGAAGCGCCCACTCTCGCGCAACGTTCGAACGCCTGCAGCTTGACCGTAGGCAGGGGTGCGGCCCGAGGCTGCTGGTGGAGTTGGTCGACCCCAACGCCGCGCTGCACCTTCAGGTGCGTGACGAGCGAAGGGCCTGCATTTGCCAACAGCGCCGACGCTGCGGAGTATTCATCGATTCGGTTTACTGGGTTTATTGCTGGGTTCGGTGTTTGTGTTCGCTTCGTCATGGCGATGATGGCGTTATTGTTTACCGCGCTTCCATAGAAGGCGCTATTTTCTCGACGCAGGGTCGATTGCTCTTGGAGTGGTGAGGCATCTTGAAATGCTGCTGCACCGGCAGCAGCTTCTCAAAGCCAGTAATAGAAATACACAGGCTTCGGGTTCCTGATCCGCCATCGGCCTGCCCATGTTCGCGCAGCCTCAATGGCAGGTGTTTCGGGGAATTCATACGTAGATGCGATCATGTCGGCGCGCTTCCATCGTTGTTTATCTTTGCTTCTGCTGATCACTGCGTGTACGCGCGGTCTCGTAAGAGCAGGCTGCCGGCATCAAGCACGTGGTGAGCAGCGCGCAGGTGAAGCTCAGCGTGCTGGCGCAGTCGTGCCTCTGCCCTGGGTGGGCCGCGGTTGTGGCCAACCTGCTGGAATCTAGGGCCGCTCTCCCGGCGGAGGTAAAGAAAAATGCTGGGTTGTTCTTGTGTCTATTGTAGTTTTGGCGTAGCAGGAAGGCTAAGTCATAGTCGCGAAAGGGCGCTATCATGTGGACATCGCGTTTTGTCGTGGTGTCCTTTTTTATGCGAACCTGACCCTGTCTGATACTTGTGCGACACGGATCGTTGAAACTTCGTGAGTCGAGGAACATTCTCATTCAAAGGCCTTTCAGCAGTAGTGTCGTGGTCGACGCCGTCACACACTCATAAAATGTTCATGTTCACTACTCTGCAATCGGGGTTCACTGCACATGCCGTCAGTTTCATGAAGAAGTTTCAAGGTGCTGTACTCTGGTGCAAGACTGCGATCACAACGCTAGCCACGGATGCGTTATTGTCTAGATAGCAAATCACCATGCTCCACCTCACTCAGCCATGCGCTACGGCCACGCGCGCTAGCATTTAGCGATTTGTCTCATTGCGGGCAAACCACTCCCTGAACTTGTGTGTGTTGTCGTCGATAAAAGGTTCTTCAGCAAGGGTCCTGGTTGGCTGAGTACTACGTCGGGGCCAAGAAGACCTTCTACAGCGTCGAGTTCTCTCCGGCCTTCACCGGGGTTCTTTTCGGGGATGCCGTCGTGCACATCTTTGAGTACTTCGAGGTATGTATCTGTCCACGTTGTCCGGCATAGAGTTGGGGGGACTAGGCGTTGGGAGCTGTTGCCAACGTGCTGATTTTCACGTTCGCAATCAGCGCCAGGTGAACAATGCCTTTGAAAACGGATTGTCGCGTCCGTATTCGATCCCAGCTCTGGCAGCTTAGCATCCGAATGTCCAGCATTGTTTGTAGGGTGACGATGAAAGGTGAAGGACAATCATGACCCTCATCGTTCTGCAGTATCGATCCAACGTCGCTTGAAAACTACAGACGGCAAGCTAATGAACTGTTGCCATCGTGTCTTCCCTTCTGTCATCCCCCGCAAACTCTGGTCATCGCGTGTCAGCTGATTCTGGTGGCGGTGGAGACGAAGCGCCTTGGACAGGCCGGGCTGGACGGCGAGTACAATGTGGTCGTTAACCCCGGCGGGGACTACCGCATCGGCAAGGGTGACCGGGGCTTCCTGCTCGCCGAATCGCAGGTAAGGAGATGATGGGGGTGGGCACAGATGACACCTGAGGACCAAGGAATTCCTTCGACGTACGGTCATCCATAAATACACTTAGGAGCCTGTCCGTGGGCATGGGACAGTGCTAACGTAGGAGTGGCTGTAGAGCGGGCGAGAGGTCATATGCACTGTTGTTGTTGCACTTGGGATGTCGGAACGCTAGAAGAAGGCACTGCGAAGCGGCGCTTGGTTCTCCCTTCCCACTCCCTCGACATCCTTCCTGGAATCCGGTGGTCTTCCGTCGTGGGGGACAACCGAAACACGAGACGACAGGCTGATGCGCGGGTGATCTGGGACTACATGGCGGAGGACGGGATGGGCGGTGCTATCGACGAGGGTACCGGCCGCCTCAAGGAGCGCTTTAGCAGCCCCGAGGAAGAGGAGGCCCTTGCGATGGAAACGCTCGGCACCGCGGGGGTAGCGGGCATGGGCCCTGAGGTCAGTCGGTCATCTCGTGCCGTAAGGTAGAGAGTTATTTTTTCAAGTCTGTGAACCGTGTTTGCCTCGGTGAATTAGATTTGTTGGGCCATTCTGTTGCAATGTTAGAGAGGAATAACCCGTCGGCTTGGAAACCCTACTAAGTGCAGCTCCAGCTTGCGTATCCACCTCGAAGTTCGTTTCGGGTTAAACACGGAAGTTCGCTGGTTGATATGCCTGCCTTCAAAGCTTTTGCTCTTTCGATGCCATCGGTTTGCCTTTGCGTCTTGAGGCGATGGGATTCGTTTCTTCGAAATCCCTTGCCTCACCCGGCTGACATTTACTGCGTGCTGGTGCTGGGGCTGTTGTTGCTGTTGTCGGTGCCCTATCAGACATTTGTGGACAGCATGGTGTTCAGCCGAACTCTACTGCACTGCCAGAAGAAGCTTCCCGATGGACGCTCCCCCGACATCGGACTGCTGCTGGAGTGGGCCAGGCAGTTCCAGGTTTGCATTGTAGATGTTAGCGGGATTTCTACGGTTTCGTCCTTACTTTGGGAAAGGTGTTCGGGGACGCACAAGGCTTTGCTCCCGGTCGCGGTGAGCGCCTGCCTACCGCATACGACAGTGCCGTCAGACAGCCATGCATGTGATGATGTTCGGTCGTCTCGGCAGCGCGAGCTTTATCATGCGTCGGGCTAAAACCTGCGTAAGCCGATGGTGCTTATAGCTCCGCTGTCATACATCGCACCATCTGAATATGTCTTTTGAGGCTGTGGAATATCGATAATTAGTGGGTCATGTTGTGCGGGGTGGAGACCACAAGGTTTACCTACGGTGGTTGGTGGATCACCTAGTACCTGCCCAGCTTCCCACGATGCACGTCAAAAATTCGGTACGATTGGAATGATGTAATCATGTCGATCTCTTGAAGTGCTCACCCCGGGAACTGATGTCTCAGGGCGATCTTCCTCGGATCGAACCGTGAGCTCCAACTGTTGAGGAAACTGACGATTGTTGAGATGGAGTAGGCCACATCACCCGCGTAGGCGCTCGCCAAAATGATGTGCGCTTGATGCCTGGTGCGAAAAACAAACTGAACGTGCTCTTCCCTGGCGCTCTAGAGACGCCACAATATTCAGTAGCTGAAAGATGATGGCCGAGCATAGCAACGACCCTCCCCCGCCTGCTTTCTCCTCATGCCCCAGGCGTCGAACGGCATGAGCGACAAGAAGGTGGTGAAGAAAGTGCTCGCGTCCGCGGGGCTCGAGCCGCCCGTCGCCACGGTCCCGGAGTCGGCAGGATACGACGCCCTCGCCGCCGCGGTGCCCACCAGCAGAACCGCCACCAGCAAGATTTTCGCCTCTGCTCTCGCCAAGAAGCCCAGCAACCATCGATGGGACAAGCAAGAGATGCTGGGTCGCCCCGGTGGAAGTGTCACCGGCGATGCTGCTTCTACCCTGGGTCCTTCCGGCAGGCGGCTTCGGAAGGCCGGAGCCCGCGGGGGTCCGGGCGCGCGCGAGAGGTTCTTGTCGGACGTCATCGACGAGGAGGATTTGAGCATCGTCAGCCCCTTGCTTGGTCGAGACGAAGGAGGAGATGAAGGTGGGACCGGAAGAGCCGGTAGAGGTGAAGGCGGCGGAGCTGATGGCGATAAGGGTGGCGTCGATGGAGACGAAAGCAGAGCTGGTGGAGGTGATGGAGGTGAAGAGGGAGCCCGAGGGGGCGGTGGAGATGGAGATGAAGGTCAAGCCGGCGGAGTTGATGGAAACGAAGGTGGAGCCGGCATAGCTGATGGCAGTGAAGTTGTAGTCGGTGGAGATGAAGGCACACCTGGTGGAGGTGATGCGTATAACGAAGGAGCCAGAGGTGAAGGTGAAGCCGGCGGAGCTGAAGGAAAATTCCGTGGAGATGAACGTGGAATCAGTGGAGATGAAGTCTTAGCCGGCGGAACTGATGGAGATGAAGGAACATTCAGTGGAGAGGAAGGTAGAGCCGGTGGAGATGAAGGAAGAGTCCGTAGAGATAAACGTGGAATCGATGGAGACGAAAGTCGACCCGGCGGAGACGAAGGTGGAGCCGCTAGAGCCGATGAAGATATAGATGGAGCCGGTGAAGCCAGTGAAGATGAAGGAAGAGCCCGTCGAGATAAACTTGGAATCGGTGGAGATGAAGGTGAAGCCCGTGGAGCCAGTAAAGATGCAGATGGAGCCGGTGCAGCCAGTGAAGCCAAAGGTGGAGCCGGTGGAGATGAAGGTGGAACCGGTGGAGGCAGTGAAGGTGAAGCCGGTGGCGCCGGCGACGAAGGGTCTGCGTTTGGCGGTTACGCAGTCGGCGTGGACCCTGCCAAGCCCGCCGAGCTCACGGACCACGCGCCTGTTCCTCTACCCTTAGAATTCTCTGTTGACTGCCTCAGCAGGGCGTCGTCTGCTGGTTGTTCTTCTGCTCTGTCCGGTCCAGCGGTACCCGGCGAGGAAGTTGGGCAGGAATGGGGGAACGGCAGCGATGGCACGGAAGTTTTCGGCAACAATGGAAATGATGTTGTCGGGGATAGCAGGGCGATTGACCCTACCCGGGATGCGGAAGGAGCAAAAATTGCAGCTAGCAGAGCAGTACCCTCCATTGGAATTCCGCCATCTACCAGCTTAGAGCAGCAGCCGCAAGAACAACAAGGGGTTTGGCCTACTTCTTCTGGCAGTGCATCAAACCGCGGCGGCGATGGTGTCGGGGAAAAGGCTGGCAGCTTGACGGTTGAGGAGATCATGTCGGAGCTGAGGACCGTGGAGGTGATGCGTGTTCGGTTGGTCGTTCTTGTCGTGTTTGAACTTTTCACTCTCGCAGGCGCCATGCCAATCGGAGGCTGGAATGATTCGTTTCTATCTATCAGTACTTCTGAATACAACGCACCTGGTACACCTCGACAAGAGCTGCAATGCAGAAGGACGAAGCTTTTTCCTCTCGTCTTATGCCCGTGTTCGTCCCTGTTGCTCGTGCTGTTTTTTCTTTCCTCGATAGGTGTCAAGCCTCACAAGGGACGGTGCGTACGACCATCTCGTGGCCCTCTGCTCGGCTGCTAACACGGCCCGGCTCCCCCCACGCCCGGAGTCCAGTGAAACGATCATCACTCCCACCACTCCCACCGCCGCCGCCGTTCCAACTGCGGCAACGAACGCGGTCATGGACAACGCGCGCCTGGTTGCCGAGGCAGGGGACGGAGGTGGCACCGCCGCCGCCGCCGCCGCTGCTGCTGCCAGCCCTGCCGCTGCTGCATCCACCGCGACAATGGGGCTGCGTGCGAGTGTCACTGCTTGCCGTCGGAGAGTGTCCACAGCGAAGCACCTGGTTGGGCACGTCGTTGTGGTGGGCTTCCCTGCGAGGTACCGTACGGACTAAAGACGTATAAGGGAATCGTTCGGTGTACTCGTTGCCGTTGTGGCCCCTCCTGCTGTTGCGATCCTTGCTCGGTCGGCATGCTATTGAGAGTCATGCTTGAACTGGACATGTTACACTGAGGGCCGCCCGCCCCCCCGCTCCTGGTGCAGTTCTATTGTTGTTGTCCTTGCTCGTTTGTCATGATTTGAGAATCGTGTTCGAACCGGACATGACACTTTCGGGGACGCCCTTTCGTCCTCCTCCTCCACTTTCCCATTAAAACTTGGATCACACCCTCCCGCGGTGATACGTGATGTCACCTCAGGCCATCGCACCTCGAGTGCTTCCTGCGGCCTCTCAAGGGCTGGACCGGGCGCGCCGGCATGGGTGGAGGCCGGGAAGTCGGCGGTGGCTGCGTGCCTGTGGTGCTAGTCGCCGACGACGTGTCCGGGCTGGAATCCGCCCTCGAGGTGGTCGATAGGCATGGCTATGTGAACACCAGCGAGGTGATTTCTCCGCTTGATACCGGCCGGGCGATGGTCGATGCTAACGTCGTTGTCAGTGTCTTCGGATGTGCGAGAGGTGACACTCCTTTCTACGCTTGATGACGGATATAGCGGCGGGCGAAGGTGATGGGTTTCGCTGGCCGCCGAACACGGCGAATGCTAGCCGCGGCGAAATTCCAATGCATTGTCTACACTTTACCACCGTGAAAAGGCTACCAAAACGTCCAGTGCTTGCAAGACCCATCACCGGCGAATGACGCTAAAAGTGTGGGTTGCCCACGATGTTTTCGTCGCGTAGTGCTTGACGATATTGTATGCATGTCTTCCTTTTGTGTTGGGGTCGCCTTTTTGCTTGGTGCTTCTCCTCGTGCTGCCGTTGACAGGTTTACCTCTTCGAGGGCTCGCCGGTCAGTCGAACGGATCTGGAGAACGCCGGCGTGCGCACGGCCAAGGCTGTCCTCGTCATGAAGGATTCCAAGTAAGCCCACCCGCCAACATGCACTGGGGCATGTGAATAAGTGGCCACTGCTGTGCAAGACCACTGTGGGGCGCAAGGGGTTACAGAGGGAAGGCCTCACTGACGATGAAGGAAGAGGTAGAACGAGCGAGAGAATTTAACCGTGGCAGATTTCGGCCATCTTTGCCTCACGGGAACCCATTATTGTCGTGGGAAATACTGCAGCGCAGGGAGAGGTGTGCTTACTGCAAGGACTTGGTAAGACATGATGCATAGAGATGTCGTCAAGAAGCCTTCAAGTACACACATCGAGCGAAATTCGATCCCGCACTCGAAAAGCTGGCAATCTTTTGCACAACCTCGCCACATACCTGCAATTTGCCCGTGAATTATCCCGTTCCCCTTGACAGGAGCACGAGATTCAACTACGGAGGGTCGGGAGACCCGCTGCGCGATGCAGAGGCTCTTGTATCGTTCATCAAGATGGAGGATGGCCTCCTGTCCGAAGACCAGGCACGATAAGTGGCGGTGTGGTCGGCTTGTTTTTTTTTGCGGTATGGGGGTATACCTTGGGCGTTTTCTCGAAACGATAGGCATGTGACACAAAACCCCCCATCCGACATTTTCGGAGTTTAACGTCATGTAGGACTTGGGTAATTAGTTGCTATACCTGTTGGGAGTATTCCAGCCTGTCGTGGGGCTGTGGTGTTCCAGCTCAGGTCTCAACATGGACGACAAAGAGACACGGTGCTCGTCACGTGGGTTTCATCCAAGCATCATTTCCGACTTGGCAGCAGGACTGCTATGAACCTTTGGATTGCCCCCAGTTGAATTATTCTCGTTCGCATCACTGGCGGGTCCATGTTCAGTTAACAACTCTTACAATGCCGAGAGGCTGGTGTGTGCTATAGCAATACCGATATTCGCCATACTGCTCATCTCTCTTGTTCACGACTTTTTCTTGTCCCGTGCTCTCCCACCGCGAAGGACGGTGTTGGTGAACTGGGCGTGGGTGCGGAGGCGATGGGCCCAACGACTATTTGTAGCTGTTTCTCGGCTCTGGTATCACTATTTACCAATACGGGTGGTTTGTTGTTTTGACCGGCAACCCCTTCTCTTCTCTGCCTTCTATTGCCATTCCGCTTAACCATAAAAAATCGGTTGCATTTTCATTTTGCAGCATGTGGTGGTGGAGCTGGAAAGCTCAGCCAACGTCCGCTTCCTACACGCCCGCGCGGAAGCCAACAGTCTAAGCGCCATCGCCGGCCTGGGCGGCGCCGGGTCGGGCGGCGCGGCCGACGAGGCTCACTACCTGTGGCCCAAGTTCGCCGCCGGGATGACCTACAACTCGTCCTTCGTCGACTCTATGTTCGGACAGGCGTTCTACCGCCCCTCTAGGTTTGTCTGCCCTGTGCTGTGCTATATTTTCGCGTCGCGCGCGAGCTGTGGGCGATTTGTTCTGAGTTGGAGTACACCCTGATTTCTCGAGACGTCGACTAACCCTCGCACGTTTCTTTGCTGGTGAAAGAGTTGCGTGTGTTCTGCGTTCGCGTCTGTGGGACTGTCGGGAACGTCCCCGCTCTCCCTCTAGAGAACCTGAAAGCCACGCAAGCCTGCTTCATTACCTGGATAGTGAGGTACCAAGCATGTCTGGGGTACTCGTAGGTGCTTTTGATGTGACCACTTTTGGTTCATCGTTCCATGTAACCGGTAGGATGCCCCTCCCCCCCATTGCTGTAGGGCCCTCTCCCTATAGGCTTCTCTTTAGACATGCCTTTGCGCGGCTTCATCTTCAGTACAACGTGGTGCGGCGCCTAAGGACAAGCTGAGCAAGAGTATGCCACCGTGCACTGTCTTGTGACACAACAATCACATAGGCGAGCGAGTCATCGGCGATCACTCCTCTTGTGGCGCAGCACCCAAAAGCGCAGACACTACGCCCATCTCCTATCCTGTTTCTCCGCCGTTGTCTTGTTTTTTGCATGGTGCAGCACGAGACCTCGCCGGTGGTCACGTGGGCGTGTACCAATAGTTCTTGGTCCACCTCCTATGACGATGCCTCACGTACCTGCCTGTGATCGCCCTGTTGCCGTTACTAGGATCGCACTTCTGAACCGCCTGCTCCTCTTGGCCCGTGGGGAACAGCAGGAGCAACCGGGGATGGCCTCGCGTTCCCCATCACAGGTGAAATCAGTGAGACAAGTCGTTCTTTCAAGGCAAAATAGACTCTAGATTGTCGTAGAGTTGACGAATGACATCGGTTGGTGGATCTGACGCAATCGTTGCCCCTGAATGCCATGTACCAACGATTGGTTCCCTCGCTGGTGAGTACCGCAAGCACGCGAGGGAAGCAATGCTGTGGTGTCCCGTTACCCATTTCCCGGCGATTAGGCAGTGCTGTACAAAGATGCTTTTGAGCATGCTTGCTGCACCCGATTGACGATAGCTTGCTGGGTTGTTGTTGTTGTTGTTGTTGTCTTCACATTAAAAACCATCCCGGTCTCTCTATCCAGTACCTCCTTCTTTCTCAATCTCTCCGTACTAATCCATCACTTGACTCGGCCAATTTCCGTGGTCACAGGCTAACGTACCTAGAAAAGGTATACCAAAATAAAACGGACCCCAAGGGTCAGCAGAGCGATAAAATACAAGAAAACAAAATATAATCAGAAACAAATAAAATAAAAATAAAATAAATAATTAGACTAGTGGAACGGCCGCACCACCAGCCTGGGGGGGTAGCCTCCCACTACATGGAGGCAGGTCGACGGCCAAAGGAAGGGGCGGGGGTACGTGCCAGTAAAAAACAAAACAAAAGACAAAATAAAACAGAATAAAGCAAAGACGAGGACACAAACAAACTCGCACAGAGACAGGGATATCCCTAGAGACAGTCTGAACGCGACAGCAAACGGGGGAGAGGGCAACAGAAAAATTAGTCGTTGAAATTCGACCGCAACATGTCACGTCACGCGGTCGGTCTCTTCTCGCTTGCTTTCTTCCCGCCGCGCCGTTTCCTTCCGCCCCCCTACCGCCCCGTTGATTGGTGCCGTATCTAGACTATTTTTGGGCCGGCTGTCTCCTCGTTTGATGGCTCGTTGTCGGCTGGCCTCCTCCTTGCCCTTGTGCCAAGAGGCCATGAACCTCTCAGCTCCCTGTAGCACCCCCGCGTGCCACGGTACCCCCCCCTCCACCTTCGCCGCCTCACTCCAGACTAACTTCGGGACTCCGAAGACGCTCGGCTTGTCGGTCGTGGAGCCGTACCTGGCTTCGAACATCTTCATGTCGTCCTTCAGGCATGTCAGCCAGTTCTGCTCCGGGTTTCCCTGGCCCGGGTCCTCCCCTCCCACCAACTCGCCGAACATCAGCCGTTTCGGAAGCCGCCCGTCCGGCTGTCTTGCCACGGCCCCCGCAAAGAGCAGGCGCCGTTGACGGACAGTGGCCTCCACGCTCTGGCAGCCGACCCTCTTTAGCGCCTGGGCGTATGACAGCTGCCGGTAGGTGCCTCGTTTGCGCCGGTAGCCGATGACTCGCAGGAGTAGCCGGTGGTGTGTCGTCTGCAGCATTCCGTAGTGGTTGCGGCGTGGGGACCATGTCATGCAGCCGTATAGCAGTGCCTCCACTGCCTCCGCCTGGAGCAGGCGGGCTTTGAGGCGAAACGGTGCTCCCGGTCGGTCGAAGAGCTCCGTGGCGTATCGCTTAATGCACGCCCACGCTGCTTTGCTCCTGTGGTTGATCTCTCGGGTAAGGTCGCCCTGCTCGTTGACGAGGCCGCCCAGGTATCGGAACTCGGTCGTCTGTGCGTACCTTTGCCCCGCTGCTTCGATGGTCAGCACCGGCGGTGGCGGCGGCGGCGGTCGCTGTCTCTCCTTCACCCGCATCACCAGGGTCTCCGTCTTCCTCTCCGACACCGTCAGCCCGAACTCCCGGAACACCTCCACGATAATGGTCATCATCCTCGCCAGGCCGTCGGCGGACTTCGACACAACGCCGGCATCGTCGGCATATAGCATCCCCCACACCGCCCTCCGGACTCGGTCCAGCAATCCCCCCCCCCTCCGTTCCTCCTCCTTCAAGTACACTAGGTCCCGCACGATAACCTCATCTTGGCTGAACCGTGTGACAATGATCTCGAGAGGCGCTGCGAAGAAGACGTTGAACAGCAGTGGGGACATTGAGCACCCTTGTCGTAATCCCTGCGTGACCGGGAACCAGTCCGATAGCTCCCCATCGTCCGTGCGGACCCGGGCCCGCATTCCGACGTGGAACTTGCGGATGACGGCGATCATCTCCCCGGGGATCCCGGCCCGGGCCAGCACCTTCCACAGTAGCTCCCGGTCCACCGAGTCATATGCCTTCTGCAGATCGATGAAGCACATGTAGAGCGGGATTCTCCTCCTCCGCCCCAGCTCCTGGAGTCGGCGCACAACGAACAGCATGCATACCGTGGATCGGCCAGGCCGGAACCCGCACTGTTCCTCCGGGAGGATTTCGTTGGCTTCGCAGAATGCGCTCAGGCGGTTGGTGATGGTCTTGGCGAGTACTTTGCCTACATGCGAGAGCAGCGAGATGCCCCTGTAGTTGTTGCAGTTCGAACGGTCACCCTTCTTGTACAGCACCTTAATGATGGCATCCTTCCACTCCTGCGGCATCTCTCCCCCATTCCACACTTCGACGAAGATGGCACGGAGGCGCTCCAGTACAACTGGCTCGTCGTCGCCGTCGACCTTGAGCAGTTCGGCGGCAAGGAGGTCGGGACCAACCGCCTTCCAGTTCCCCAGGCCTTTCGTCGCCGCCTCAACCTCCTCGAGGTCTGGTACCGCCGCCAGGTGTCGGGTGGCGCGCGTCGCTGGTCGCTGCATCACCTGTTCGACAACGTCTGGGTTCAGAGTGGGGGACTTGGAGTTCAGGAGGGTATTGAAGAATCTCCGCCACCGCTTGAGGATGGCATCCTTGTTCCGGAGTAGCACGCCGTTCTCGTCTGTAACGAACTGCTGCCCCCCAGCTTGTCTCCCGCTGAGGCCCGTTGACCGCTTGAGGTGTTGGTACAGCCCCCGCATGTCGCGGTCCTGGTAGATCGCTTCGAGCTCCGTCACGTATCTTTCCAGGTGGTCGTAGATGCTCGTTGCGATTGTTGCCTTCACCCCCTTGCACGTTGCTTTGAGGATCCTCCACGTTGCTGCGTTCGGTCCGGCCTTGAAGGAATGTCGCGCAGCCCGTCGCTTGTCAAGGGCGGTCGCCAGGGCTGTCCGTGCCGCGGTGGTCATGTTCCATTCCGTGGTGCGCCGCCTCCGGGGTTCCTCAGACAGCTCCGTCTCCGCCGCGCCGAGCAGGGCCTCCGTGAACTCCTTCGCCATTTCCTGCGTGGTGGTCGCCGGCGCGCCCGACCTCGCGAGCAGGTTGCAGAGAAACCGTTGGGATACAGCCCATCGCGCTGCCTCGACCTGCAGATCTACACACGTTTATTCAGAAGGGTGTGTCTGCTAAACTCAGAACCCCGATATCGGTCACGTCGAACGATACCCAAGCCTTGACACGACGGCCCATACTCGCTGTTTTGTAATTTAGGTGGCTGCAGAAGACCACTGCATCGCACATCAGACTTGTATGGTCGTTGTCAACGCTGTCGTGCTTGGGTTAATGTCGTCGAGCTTGAGGCTCGACCGCATGCATGGCCTATTCAACGTTCGTCAACTAATGACACACATCTTTCCATCCGCGTAGACGTGTCCTATCCGTGTCTCACACTCCATTCGTGGCTTCGCCTTCCGTGGTTGCAAACCTACGCGGGCTCAAGGGTCCAAGTCGAGGTGAGACCCGTTCTCCTTCGGAACACGGGGCATCACCAGGAGTGGAGGGAGATGGGCTGGGCAGGGAGTGCTGCCTGAGGCAGATGGCCGTGCCGCCGAGCCTCCTCGGCCACTCGTTCGGGGAGATGTTCCAACACTTGGCCGCGCCGCCGCTGAGGTGAGCTCACCCACCCGAGAAGCTTCGTTGCTGAGTGGGATGCTTACTCTCCCTGATTACTCGCGCTCCGCCTGATCATGAAATGAAATGTCGCTTAAGGTGATCGTCGTCTTCCATCGAGAGATTTACTCAGATGGCAGGCGTGCATGTGCTTTTTAGAACCACTACCATAATGGTTGCTTGCTTCATTCGACGTGCAAGTGCAAGTCGCGCTGCAGCAGGTATTCGTCATGAACATTAATGAAACAATCATATGTATTTTCGTGACTGTCTCTACGACACGAGAAGACCGAAACCTCGAGTTGCATGCAGGCATGGAAGGGCTGGTCGAAGTCAGTTAACAGGAGCATGTCGTTCTCCACATGTTACGTTGTTGTTGCGTTCCCGTTACCACAACGCCGTCGATCTCTACGTCGACACCCGACCCGCAGGTGTGTGGCGTTTGCGCTTCTTCGCGCTCGAGGCACGCGCAACGCGCCCGAGCCATACGTTTACACCGGCCCGAGGGCCGACACGGTGCTGCACCCGGGAGACAGGGTGTTTATCCTCGGACGACCGCCGGTGCTGTGAACGCCATGGATAGTACAAGAAAGGGGTTTGTGGTTGCCTACCTAGGACATTGCTTGGTGTTTGACTGAGGTTTTGGGAGTCAGGATTGTTGGCGATTTCGTTTGCGGTGGCCCGGCTAGGGCACAAAGAGTCGGTAGGGGTGGGTAGACGAGTCCGGATTTCCAGTGTACTTACCATGCGTAGAACAGCCGGCCACGAACGGAACCGCCGGGTGCAGGGAATGAAATCAAGACGGGTCGGCCGAAGGCAAGCAAAGGGTGAACCTGGGCGAGTGGGGGCCACATCGTACGATTATGGTTCACGTTTCGTCTCTCAGTGACTGAACAGCAGTCGTACGTCGGTTGCTGTGGTCGTTCTGTGGATCAAAGCTTTTGACATCGTTCATTTTCGCGGGTGCGCCTTCTAGTATGTTCGTGGTTTTGGATTGACCGCAGGCCCTACGCCAGGAAAGCGCTACTGAGAATGTTTGGGGGGTATGACAAGGTAGAAAATCTTTGAATGAATGCATTTTATCGGAGTTGAGACATCACTTCAAACCGTGCGTGATCCTACCCACGGGATCCTGCGTACGTAGCAGAGCGGGTTCATGCATGAGCTCGCTGCATTATGTAGCATGTATCGTTTTCGGCGCTCGGGCTGTAGCTCCGGCCGTTGCGTTGGCTTGAAGTTTAGGCGAAGAACCCAAGAAGTACCATCCTTTGTCAAGCCGTAAGCTGCCGCTCGGGCTACTTGCACCGGACAAGAAGAAGGCTACAGCCGAATCGCATGAGGCCAGTGGCTGAGTCATGTTTGCATCTGCTTCCGTCCACCATATCTCCGCTCATGGAAAACAGTGCAAGAGACATGATGCCTGGGAAAACTCTAGAGATTATTGGCCAGAGGAGATTCAGCAGCTGTACACTAACCCAGGCTGGGCGCATGGTGAGGGCGAGGGCGCAGGCGCGCCGAGGTGGTGCTGAGAGGCTGGCTACGGTCATTGACACCGAATGTCGAACAGACGAACTGGGCGAACGCAACGGCAGGCGTGCATCTCTGGTGCAGAAATGACACCAGCATTGAAAAACGAGCCGTTGCGGTTCTCTGAGGCGAGCTAGTAGACCTGCGGACCTGTCCGGTGTGCTGTAGCCCTCTCTCTACCAAAATATTCTTGGTGCTGAGGATTAAGGCCAGAAACCTCGTACGAGGTCTTCGTTCGCGTTGATCATTAGTACTGCATCCCGTCCCTCATCCTTCAGCGTGGCAAACATGGAACTGGTAGCTTCATCCGCGGTCGCTGATATTCACGATCCTTGCGCCGTTCGCGAGCCACCAACGGTGCGCCTCTTCCTCGTTGAACTTGGACCGGTCAAACATGACGGTGATGACCTGGCATGCACGCCCAGAGGGCAGGAGGCATGGAAGCAAAAGGGGGAACAACCGGCGCGAAAAAGCGTGGGTGAAGGAACTACGTATTGCTGTAGCCTCGAAGGTACTGTTGTGTAAGGCTTCAGAATCAATCACCACGGTCTTCACACACCCTGTCTTATCAATCAGCGAGCGTTCCGACACGAAAATCGAGTATGCAGATCACATTTTCCCCGCGAGTGAGTACAGGCTACCCTATGGAGATATCTCTTCTGCCAGCGAGGAGATACGGATGGTGTCCTGTAGAAACACCCAGAAATCACCTCCTCTGCCCCGTGAACCTGATGCCCCTCTCCTCCTGTGCCACCAAAGCTGCGGTCGCCTTCATCAATTCGACGTCCGAGCAACAACGTCACACCCGTCGATGCAGCTCGCCCTTCCGGAACGTGTGGCATACTCGTGGCTTTATTGTCTACCACCTTCGGTTTGGCCGATGTTGCTCCAAAATCAGAATCTGGTCGCCGACGCATGCTGCAGGGATCAAAAAGCCGCGGATCTCTAACCTTCAAGCGTCCCTGTGTGACGATGGATTCCAGAACGTAGAACGGCACCGGCGGCAATGAATGCACAGGAGACATTCTCTCAATGAGAACAGAGGCAAGCAACTGTCTCAGGTGTACCCGGCCGCTCACTGTTTCCGCCTGTACTTCAAAGTCCTGCTGATTAAAGAACCTTGATCTGCTATCACACAGAAAAATTCATCTTCGTTGTCATGTCTTAAAATGTAGGGCGAGACACGAGGCCATCGATTGCTTCGTGCATGCGCACTCACGAACCAGCGCTTTGCGTGGTATCTATCTACTTGATATAAACTACAGAATGTACGTCGGATTTTGAATTTCACTTTGCCGGCATTTGCCCCGCTGGGAGTTTGGCCTTCCGAGAAAGCCACGAGGAGGATTTGAGAAGATTTCCAAGTGGACGGCGTTGGCAATGAAGAATTCGGTAAGATTTCGTCGCCGAATAAACGTCTCGAAGCATTCGAAAACAACGCAAAATCTGCTTGGAAAAACCCGCGGGGGGCTCTGCCCAAAACAGTTTTGACGACACACGCTGGGGTACTGCCGGGGCTGACTGAATATGCTTGGTGCTCCACCCTCATGACGAACCTTGTCCGCAGAGCTTGTCGCCGCGTCGAAGAAGCCGCCTGCCTGTGCTGTCACAGTTAAACCCGTCCCTTGTGCTGGCATCAGGAAGCTGCCCATTGCATGAGCGCCATCGTCGCCGGAATCCTGTGCGACTGCTCCCTCGCACGCCTGAGAATCCGAACCGGACGCGTGATGTTCGTTTCGCCTCTCGCCGTTTGTAGGTGGCTCGTAGCAGTCGGCCTCCGTCACGCTTACCTGGTCGTCACTCTCGTTCCACAGATCAAACCTGCCACCGAGACGAGTACCCGCTCCTCCACCAACGTCGCCACCCTTTTCATGACCAAGATCAACACAATCATCGTCCAGGTATGGCGCGGTGGCATGGGCGTGAATATGGCATGATTGAGTTCCTCCCGCGACGGCTGAAACCGAGCTTTCCGTAGTGGAAGGTAAAGTCTCGTTTCGTGCGATGCCAACAATCTCGTCCCGGTCGCGACATCCGCCGCAGTCTCCAGTCCCCATACTCACCCGTCGTCGTCGTGGGTGTTCTTCTCCTTCGTTAGCGCTTGTGCCTCTAGCTTGGTCTAGCTGTTGCCCAATATTGAGGACATCATCCCATCGTGGACTTCCTCTAACGGTGGCAGCGGTCGCGTCTAGTCGGGTGCCGCCGTCTACGAAGTGACGAGCCCCGCCGCTGCTCCCACGACTCCCAGATCCCCGCCTCTCGTCAGACCACGGGTAATCCATGGCTCCCGCTGCTCCTCCACTCGGGGTGGTTTTCTCGACTTCAGACGCTGCTACTAGGACGCTCAACTGCTCTTGGCTGGCAAGCGTAAGGCGATTTTGCGCTCCACCGCCAAGCCATCCCGCAGGTGTGCGGCCGCGTGACGGGCCTAGAGCATCATCGTCATCCAGGTATGGACCGCTGTTGTCCCTGCGAATCCCGGCGACTTGCTCCACCGACTGCGCCTCGTACAGAGACAGGAGGCTGCTTGCTCGCGCCACCGCCCTGTCAGCGCTTAGGGTCGGAGGTGTGACGGCGTGTCGTTCTGATGTCCTGGTCATTTGGATCTCCCAAGACCTTCTCCTCCCTACCGTTCCGTTAGGCGTACCGTTGGCACCGCGGGCTTGGCTTTGATGCATCGGTGCTCCCGACTGAGATGGTTTCGAGCGCGGGGCAATCGATCATTGGATCCGTTTTCTTCAGCGTGATGTCAAGTGCACGTTGATGGTAGAGCAAACTCCTACGGGTTTTGCATGAACAACTGATCTTGGGCGCCAACGACCTTAGTAGAGGATGCTTCTCCTGTTGAGCGCACTCTTCCCAAGAGACGCCCAACAACCGGTTCCTGTCTTTGAAGGTGCATCACGTTCGTAACCGGAAAGAAACCTAGCTACCCTCGAAATGTTATTACCGTCTACCGGCTTCCACCTAAACCTACTCACCTTTGTTCTAGTTCGTCGACCTGCCGCTGCACCGCGAGGAAGATGGAACAGAAGTGAACCAGCCGCGGCTCCCTTCCTCGATCGGCCATGCGACCTGCCGCTACAGCTGGTCCGGCGTCTACCACTGCTTCCTGCCCCGCTTTTCTCGCCGTCACCACCATCTCCACCATCCCCACCGCTTCCGCTACCACCAAGTAGATCATGGCTCGCGACGCCAAGTCTCTCTTTCTCCATGATCTTTTCGACGGCCACCCGGTAGAAAGAGTCTTCGGACAGGTCGTTGTTTTCCTCGGCTGCCACGACTGGAGTGACGTGGTTTCCACCGTCGGGGGAAGATTCTCCCTCCCTGCTTTGCCGTCCATCATTGGCCGTCATCGACACGATGCCACCGCCATCGCCAGTCCTGTCTGCATGTCCCTCTTCTCCAGCATGGCTCCTCGCGCGTCGCGGTGGAGGCGGCTGGGTGAACAATAGGAACCCATGTGGAGGGAGAAGTATTTTCCGATGAACTTTACATGGTGGCTATGGCGGACGTGAATACAGTTTTTGTAGTCATGCGGTATCACGCCAAAGTGTGGAGTACACCAGGCGGGTGGGGTTTCCTGACATGATTTAGGCCCTCCTGATGAAAAACTACCTCAGCAGTGAATTTATTCGCGCTGAATCTCCTTCTCATCCTTGATTCCTCCTTTCTCCAATAAAACTGTGAACATCTGGCGCTCACCCTTCGTACCCTACGCCTTCCCCCGCCACCTCGGGAGTTGGGCGCTGTCCGGGACTCCCTTCCGATGCCGGCTCCGTGTGCATCTGCGGCGGCCGCCAGAGTATCGGCAATCTCCGTGGCCCTCCGTTCCGCGGACTCGCGCTCCCGCTCTGCTCTCAACTCCGACGCTCGTCGTCGTGCTTCCCGGATTTCCTGAGGAATTATATTTTTGGAATCAACGGTGTCCCCAATTTAGTCAAGTGGTACACTTTTATCATCAACATTTTTTGGTTCTGGGTCTTATCGTTGTTTCGTCGGGACCTGTGGTACCGGAAGAACGTCAGTACGCGCTGAACCTGAGCACAAATAACGTAGATAAGGATGCAGGGTGGAAAGGTTTGGTTGCCGATGATGATA